TCCAGATCGTCAGGCAAGTCCATGGTGACGAGGTAGGTCCAAGGTCAAGCCAGGGAGGTCAGTCCACAGGTCAGGAGCAGGTGTGGTGAGGGTAACCAGGATCAGACACAGCCCAGAAATCGCCAGGTAGGTCTGTAGTGACAAGACAGGTTTGAGGCCAAGCTGGGAAGTCAGTCCACAGGTCAAGGTCCAGTTCAGTCGGAGCCAGAGCCCCAGCCCCAGCCCTGCATTCCTACAGCAGGGCTCAGGCAGGGAATGAGGGCCCAGGGCTGAGCTTAAATGGAGCTCCTAGGCCCACAGGCAGAGCGTGTGGGTGAAGGCCCCAGATGAGGCTATGAAGGCCTTTTAATACACTAAGGGCCCTGACAGCATACTCTGTTTCAGTAGGATCATCTTTTTGCAAAGATGCAAAAACCACTGTAGAGAAGTACTTTTCCCACAGAGGGTTTGCAGTACAGACAGAAGGGAAGGGTTGAGGTTAATCTGAACCAGCCAAGATCTAATATGCCTGTTTAAGGGTTTCTTCTTTTTCAAAACTAGCTGGCTATACTGAAGAGATGGTATGGATGATAGATAGGCTGAGATCCGTAGGACAGGGACTAGTTTGAAATAAAAGTACAGATTTGGTAATCTGGGATTATGTTAGAAGAGACTGGCTCACTGATGCACTCCTGGCTATTGGATCCACTTCAGCTGATTAACAGAATGATCAAATGCTCACCAAGATAGGCCAGTATTAGCACACAGGAGGATCTTTCTAAGGAACATTCACTTACGACACTTGTATTCTACAGAGAACTACATTACAAATACATATAGCAGTGTATGCAGCTATTCTACATCTTTAAAGGTACTGCTACATATGGGCACATCAGGAACACCACAGCACTGGCAAGGTGAGTTCAGCTGTGGGGTAAAGGAGGTAGTGACAAAGGGAAGTTATGTACATTATATAGGTACGGCAGTTCATTTAGTTTTATTTTTTATTTTTTAACCTAGTTGGAAGTCTCTTCATGAGCTGCAGCACACGTGAATGCCTGTCAGCAAATTCCGTTTTTGTGCCAATCAAGATAAGGACTATGACCTACATTAACATTCCAGAAACAGGAAAGAATAGCTTGGCATCTCAGACTGGGACTGTGGTTCAATCTCGTGATGGCTAATGTCCGCTGTTACTACGTTTTTTTTCGGTCAGGCTAAATTAATTCTTGCAGTAGGAACTTATTTAAACTGTGTTCACTCATCTTGATAATGTGTCCTTTGCCGTCTTGACAAAGTATCTGACATTCTTTCAGTGAGGAATGTCTACCTTTCCTAACAAAAATTGCCTTTGGGAATTTTATCTATGCATTATTTGATTTTCAATGGGGTTTACATTATTCTGTCCAGTAATATGAACAATATTTAGTTCAGACATTACTTCTTGGTGGCTGGCTAAAGAAAGACACATACTCAGGCACTTGAGTTTGTCCATAGCCTGTGTGGTACATACACATCTCCTGTAGTTTAGAAATGTTCTTATTCTTGTTGGAAAATCCTCATTTACAGGACTGCATCTATGAGGGTTTTTTTTTTTAACACGCTTAGGAACAAAGACACTAGAATGTAAAAATACCAAACAGTGACACTTGCTGGTCAGTTACATAACTTGCACGTTTCTCCCTGCTAAAATATATAAAATGAAAAATGATCCTCAGCATTTCTGTCATATTTAGTAGCTTGATTGATATGAATTATGAAAGCCTGCACTTTCCTAGCATCTTTCTAAAGCTTTAAAAGCATCAACTAAGCCTCACGATGTTCTGTGGGACTGAGGTATATGTGCATTTTTCAGATGTAAAAACTAGAAATTAATCAATTACCAAAATTCATGCAGTAAATTATTAAAGACACATCCTTTCAGGTCCTTTCAAAATCTCTTACATTATCCTACCATGTATACTCTACCCTCCTTTTGAATCAGGTTCTACCTATATTGGAAGTTTTTATATTTTATTGAAAACGTTTTGGCTGTTTATTCCCAGAACGTGACCTATTTAGAAGTTCTTACAATCAAATAAATGTTATTGTGCATAACTGAACACTTAAAAATGAAATGTGAAGAAAAATCACATAATTCTAGTGTGAACTCCCTTTATTTGACTGACTGAAGATCATCATCAGTCTCCTAGTGGTCCCACACAGGTTTGTTTTGGGATTGCATAAGACACAGAACAGGGTTCCAAAAACTGCAGGTCACTGACACTCAGCACTGACAATACAAACCAGTCTTGTGATTACTGCCGTACCCTCTAGGCCTGACAGCTAGTTGGAAAATTAACAAAGAGCAAGGAATGGGGGAGGAACAGAGAAAATCTTACCATGACCTGAGAAGGAGCTGTTTGGTCATATGATTCTGGCTTCCTTATTTCTGAGAAAAACAGCTTGAGGAGATTAAAAGAGAAAAACAGAAACAGTAAAAAGATCGCCCTGATGTCTGAAATAGCACTGGAGTAGCTGACCATTTCACAGTCCTTCAGGTCTACGGCCTTGCATCATTTTTAGTGAGGGGAGGAAGTATTATTATTGCTGTTTTACACAGGGGAGTGTAGGAAGATAAAGGATATGTCTATATTGCAGTTAGCCAATATGACTGACTGGTGTGCTGCTGTGTCAATTTGTCTAATGCGTTTGAAGAAGATCCCACTTTCTTCTTCTTTGAAGATGCTCTACAATACTTTCCACATCAACTGTGGGAGAATGTGGGTCAAATGAAATTACCTTGCCCAGATCTGCAGAATGAATAGCACACAGTCTGAAACCAGCTCAAGCTTAGTCCATACTCCCCCAGCTATGCAAATGTGCATTGATCCAAAGACCAAATAAACATCTACTTCAAGTTTTGGCATCTAAGGTGTTTGCTAGGGGAATAGGGACTAAAACTGCAGTGTACCCCTATGATTTTCCAAAACCACACAGGAAAACAGGCAAAACACAGAATAGAATCAGTTTCCCAAGCAGACTAACCAGCAGACCAAGGTTTCTTTCTCATTAGCAGTGACATTAACTTTTTCTAAAATGTCAAACCACATTTTGCTTTAAAAATACCAGTGTTTTCCCAACAGAATTCTTTTATAGGTTCATTCCCCTTCATTCATTTGACTGTGGTTTATACAATCTGAATGAAGGGAAAGTCATGCAAGGCTAAGGCTCTCTCAAAGTACGATTAACACTATGACAAAACAGGCCTCTGCTGGCATGATGAAAGGCATGAAACATTTACTTTGCAGTTGGACCTGCAGCTTTGCAACTGTATGCTGTGTAGTCACATTTCTTTTGAGTACAAACCAAGATTTGGGTTAGTACAAGGGATTCCATCTTGGAAACCTTGCAGTGTTCTAGAGGCCTGGGTCTTCACTAAATGGACTAGAGTAAGAACCTTCCACGATGTTAGTTTTTCTGCAGAGCAGGTACTGGTCTAGAGTCTGAGTGAAACAGAGGAGATGAGTTTGAGCGTTGCGCAGGGTATGGGAAGTTGGAGACTGGCTTACCTAGTGGTCCATATTCAAGGAGAACTTCCCCTGAGGGAAAAAGGAGCTGTTGCAATTAGGAACGTTTTGTAAAATGATCTGAAATATTTTGACTTACCGGAGTTGAAATTTATTATAATGCATTTTTTATCAAAATAGTAGGAATTCTAGGTATTTTATAACAGTTCTGAAAATACATTGTATGAGAGCATATTTGTCAAATGAATCTCAAATTCAGGCCTTTTTGAAAGGTGGAAATATTTTCACATGGAATAAGCATCTTCCAAACATTTCCAGATTTGATAGAAACACTTTCATCCTCTGAGGCCCTTCTTGGAAGCCATTCAACTATTAGAACTCTTATTTTTAATAGACGAATGTTTAAGCCAGTGGGATTCCTGGAACATTCGAGCCATTTATGCTCTTCTTTATACTTTGCTTAGGACAGCTTAACAAAATGAAAATTCTCTTTGACTGCCATAGGTTTATGGTGGTAAGAAAAAGGAAGTTGTATCATTAGGACTATGAAGCACTTCTAGTCTGCCTTCAGAATGAATCCAGTTTTGTCTGCAGTAATTTTGGGGGTCCTCAGTCACAGAGTATCAGTTATAGTTGTTATTATTGGCCCATATCATATACTGAGTGTATATAGAGTACAAATGCATCCCCACCTTTTCTGTAGAGTAATAACAACACAACACAAAAAAAGTTACTAAAAAAAATTGTAAGCACCTTTACAAATATTCATTAAAGTTTATCATACATCAGGGAAGTAGGTATTTCCTCACTGAAACAGATGTTACATTCGTAGCAATATTGCTAATACGAGCTATGCAGATCATATTTTATTACAATAAACATTACAGTGAGAAGTAGGAAACTATTGCTAATCTCATGCATAAGACAAATAAGATCTGGTGGGGTCCCACTGGCCAGTTTTTATCTTTTATCAG